TTACGTTTTAAAAAAATTGTGTGATGTTTTCTAGCCTAGCTGTCTTCTCCTACTGTTGAGTTAAAACTGCTGCGTGTCCATTTACGTGAGACCTCTGTCCTGACAGCAGCTGTATGTCAAAATCTGGTTGACTCTGCTGGTGGGTGTAAGCTGAGCCCACCTATGCTGCTGTACGATAAAATCAGGGTACTTGTTACAAAACACCCCTCTCCTGACTGTTGCAACACTTCAGCATATGCTAAAGCCTAAGCCTATCTTGGAAAAAGACAGTTTCTGGTAAATTCTTCTCGTCCAGATAGGTGTGCCTTTGTATTCTTCCACACTTCTTGGGTTGAGCTGAGAGCAGTGCCTGCTGTTACCAGCAAGGCCTGTGAAGTCCTGTTTGTAGGAATCTTGCTCTGATTTTAATAGGAGGAAAATACAGTGGTGATGCAAGGGTATAACTTAACAAATTAAGCCTGGCTTAAATGCAGGAACTTTTTACTCTTTTTGATTAAAGTTATGCACTTGCAATAGATGAGTAATTATCAAAGTAACGCTCACTGGTAGAAGATACCTTCTGTGTTTTCCGTGGGCAGAGCTGGAGGTGATTATGTCTGCACTTTGACCATCCGAATTCTGGCTTTGGAGTCACATTTCTCATTTCTGAACATGGACCTGGCTTGTGGTGACATTCAGCTTATTGTGAGGAAAAACTCCGGTTTCAGCTATGTGCTTCCTACTTTGCATCGTGTGCGTTTCTCCGACTTTTCCCTTTGGTTTTGAGGAAATGCTGTGAACTGCCCCTCGGAGGTGGCAGTTCTCTTTGGAGCAGGAAATGGGTGAATAAATGGGGGGGCACAGGTGGGGAGAGTGGTTAATATAATACCATGATATATATGATTTTATCACCAGCTGTCTACAAGGTGTAGAATCAAGTTGTCTTACATTTTGTTTAAACTCCAGCTGAAGTGGGCAGGTTCTTTTGGGGCTCATGAAGATGTGTCTGGACTCTTTATTGATATGCCTCTTAAATAGCAGAGCTCAATGCAGAGAGACGAGTGGTTTTAGGTGTAATTCCTTAGCACTGGTGTTTTAAAGTGTGTAATGTGTGGCTTGTGTGAAAACTTTTATCATAGACAATAGATGCTCGTCATTGGACTTTCTAGTTTCAACCCAATTAGAATGTTAATAATATTTAATGAGATAACTGAAATTTTCAGAAAATACTTTAAGTTAGAGGTTTAACAGAAATAAAAGTTGAGTGAGTAAACTGGAATGTTGGTGAAAAATTAATAATCCTTTTTTGATGTAGTTCTCTGGATTGCTTTCCATGCAACTTAGGGAATTAAATTCTTAGTTTTATCTCTGTGGATGACTAAAATAAAATCACAGAATGGAATTTTTACAGTAGCATGGACTTCATGCTTTCCCCCCCTCCTCCACCAGTGCTTATCTTTAAACCTTTGGGGTGGTGAATGCTGTAGGTAGTAAAATGCATTGATTTAAGGCACAGGGTTGCAAGTATTGACCTGGCACATCAGTAAACCAGTAAGAGCCACCTGCTTAGTAGTAGTCCCTTGGGACAGGGCACATCACTTCTGTAACTTTCAGGGTGTGCCAGTACAAATCTCCCTTGACTGCGAAGCTTCCTGAGGTGCTGCTCCTGTAAGGGAAGTGCTTGTCCACAGAAGGTTATCGATGGAGGTTTTTAAGAATAGGACTTGTGGTTGAACTTCTGTAAATATTTCCTCTAGCCCTTTCTCCTTCCGCTGATGATGTAGTAAAGGAATTTGCCGATGATGCAAGTTGAGTGGTTCAGAGTCGGAGCCCAGCACTGGAAAGGCTGCGTGCTACTGCAGTCCTCCAAGTGAGGTGGGACACGGGATCCAGGATTTTACGCCTGAGGACTTGTAGGAGTTTGGTCAAGCAAAGGTTTGCCAACTTAAAGCTACAATGCATAGGCAGACTGAGCCTTCAAGGTGATATGGTCAGGAAAAGGTAATGCCAGCTCCAGGTATACCTTGTAGAAATGGAAATATTAAAATTGCACATACATCACTGGCAGGTCTTGCTTAGAATGCTGTGTGCAGTTCTTCTCCCTGTTTGAAAAAGAGTTTGAAAAACTTGTAGAGAGGATGTTTGGGGAAACGGACAGTCTGTTTATAAGGAAACATTTGAGAAGTTGGTTTATTTAGCTCATAGGGTAAAGCGGAGAGAACATGTGGTTGCTTTCTGTAAATACTCCAGTGTAAACACCACTGGGAGAAGAAACTAATAAGCTAATGGACAGTGCTGGCACATGAACACCACTGTCAGCTGACTGCTAATTTCTTCTGAAAATTAGAAGGCAATTTCTAACCATTAGGGGTGAGTTTCTGGAAGAAAAGCCCGATAAAAGTGTGTGTGCGGGAACAGTTAGCTTTAATGTGGAACTAGATAATGTCCTTTCCCTCCTGGAAACAGTTTGCCTGGGAGAGTGAGAATGGGATCCAGCCATCCCGGGTCATTCCAACTGTATTGCTATGCTAAGAATATAGTATATGGGAATGCTGTAGTAGAAAATACCAAAACAAGGTGGTTTGCTAAGGAATGCAAAATAAACAATGCAATCTGAGCGGCTGTTAAAGCTGTTTCAGTTCCTAATTGTGTTCAAAGAGTGATTAATACTTGCTCAGACTGGCAGAAATGCAGAAAGTGTGAGGAGTTGTAGGCACCTGCTGACATCGCAAGCTGTTCTTCGGATTCAGAAGGAGCTGCAGTGGCCCAATTAAGTAGAGGAAATAGCTGACTTCAAGGAGGAAAGTCTAATATGTTCCAATTAAAAGGGGAAAATATTAATCTGGTGCTGGAAACCATTCAGAATATAGGTAGCATGGAATCCGGACAGGGTGAGGAATAAAAAACCTGGCAGGGGAATTAAAATGATCTATTGTGAAATGACTTAAAGCTGTGCTCTGAAATACGCACTGAACAGCAACAACAACAAACTCTGTTGGAGGGGAATACTTAAGAGGTATATGGTGCATCTGGTTGGCAAGAGCAGATTGTGTCCATAGGTCACTTTTCTTGTTTAGAGAAGTCTTTGGCCACTGCCAAAGCTGATGCTGGGTGATTGCAGGACCAAGGTGTTCAAAGGTTGTTGACAACTTTTGCCGCTTAGAAACTTGTTTGTAACACGTCCCAGTGAATACAAGTATGATGTCATCCTATATTGTGGCCCAAACATGCCAAAACAGCATTGAAGAACTTATTTGCCAGCAAAACTGGAAAGCTGTGGCAGTTTGCCAGGTGCTGGTGACGCAATTAGGTGTCCCCTGCCCTGAGTTTATTATGGTTTAGCATCTTCCGTGCCAGCAAAGCCGTTCAGCTGTGGTAGGGCAGCCGACACTGAACAGCGTGGACTGGTCACGTAGGAAAGCGGAATCCTATTTGCATTCAGCAGACGTGCTTGCCACCTACCTGCACTTGAGGTCTTCGTAAACTGAAGCGGTTAACAGAGCTGCTCTGTGCTTTACGCAACTTCAGCAGCTTGGCTGGCTGGCTGCTGAGTCAGCTGGCAGAGAACGCTGCAAAGATGTTTATTGTGATGAAGAATTCTCCACAAGGCCATGTTGGAGGCCAGCATTTGCTGCAGTTTTCACTTTATTAAGGGTGTTTAAAAGGTGCTGCCCTGTCCTTACAGTTGGAGGAAATCCCATTTATCAGAATTGTTTGTATATTTGAAATAGAAGACGGTGTGTGGCACAGCAACATGTGGGGATATTTGCGCTGCTAGACTGAGACTCGATGGGGAGTTTCTCACATGATTGAAGTGTTTGGTGCACTCATTCCTCTGTTGTACCACACAGAATCGTTAACGCTGTTAACGCTGTTAATCGTTGCAGTCTTAACTGTTAAATGATGTATGTCACTGAGCAAGTTCGGGTTTGGGTTTTTTGGTTTATTTTTCAAAACAAGCATAGCCACAACGTTATTTCTTTTGTTGTTGTTGCTTCACTGTGCACTTTTCTTGTAGTGAATCAAGGCCAGTCCAAGCAAACTTCAAAGTTATCAGCCTTTCTTCTCAAGGATCTTGCTCGTCCTCTTTTTCTTCCATTTCCATGTTATCAGTTTGTTACCTTATCTTCGTTAAGGGCATAAGATCATCCTGAGAGGCTCCTGTTGGCGTGACTCGGGGTTGTGAGTGTGCCTCATCCAGTGGCCTGCATCTTGGTAGTGAGTTTTAAGTTACTCTTAAACTTGTACCTTTTGACTCAGCATTACAGGATATTGCAGCGAATCCTCGTGATGCTTTTCTTCCTGTAAGAACTGGACTTTAAACCTTCTGTTGATCTCTTGTCAAGCGTAGCTGAATCCTTCCAACAGCCTTGCTTGGCCCTGGTGCTGTGATGAATTGAGCAGAGCTGGGGAAGGAGGAGTGGATGGTGGTTCTAATTCTGAGGCCCAGTGATACCCTGGCAGGGTGGAGTGCTGTGTCTCAGCTAATATTTTAAATTGTCCATCAGGGTCTTGTGGTTTTTTGGGGTTTGGTTCTTTTTTCTTTTTTCCATTCACGAATTTTTCTGCCCCACTGGAGAACCTTTCTTTTGCAAAGAAGAGCGTAAAATGAAGGCAGGATCTGCTGCTCACCCAGTATTTTGGACTTCTTCCAGATTTTAGTTGCCTAATGTGTGGTTTTTGTTTTGGTGTTTAGTTCTGGTGTTGTTACAAGTATGTGAAATCAAAATGGTCCTTGACTTTTGCAGTGACAGCCATATGTATACTTCCTGGAGGAGGCATGTCCTTCCATGTTGGGCAAAGGACACTGAAATATAACAAGTAAAAATTGAGTCTAACATTGTTTCAAAACGCTGGTGAATGTGACAGCTTGGGTTCTCTGAAAATATCAAGACTTGGACAGTAGATCCATGACAAGGATGATGGTTTAGCTGTTCTTTTCCTTCATGCTTCATTCTGGAAAATAAATATTTATTGCAGATGACTGTCAATGTGTTATCTACATCTGGAATCTGATTCTCATGCCAATTTTTTGTTTTGTAGTTGTACTTATTGGAGACTCTGGAGTAGGCAAGAGTAACCTTCTGTCTCGATTCACTCGCAATGAGTTTAACTTGGAAAGCAAAAGCACCATTGGAGTAGAGTTTGCAACAAGGAGCATTCAAGTGGATGGGAAGACAATAAAGGCTCAGATATGGGACACAGCAGGGCAGGAGCGATACCGAGCTATAACGTCAGCGTAAGTCGTAGCTTGTGTGGCTGAAGAGACGTTTTTGCTGAGGAGGGCAATTCTGGGCCCTTCTGATCCCTCAGAAACTGCAAGTGGGATGTTTCTATTTTGTCATGCAATATCCATAACCTGTGGTGGAAGGAAGCTTAAATGTTTTTCAGCGCAGAAACTGGATATAGCGTGTCCCTGCACAAACTGATTTACTTCTTAGTGCTCTTGTCATACCTAACTGGAGGCATTTCAAGCCTAGAATGCAGGAGCCTGGAGAGGCTCATTTCAGTGCCAGTGATTGATAAAATAATACCAGTGGAGGTTTTATCAGTGGTAACCTAGGAGCAGAAACCCTCCTGTAGCAGCAATGTGAGACTGCTCACTTTGCATGCTTATTTAATTGGGGGGGGGGGGGGAAAGACTGGATTTAGATAATGCTGGAAGTAATTGTGGTGTGGGAGAGCACAGTCTGTTTCTTTTTGAATGCATTACGGTGCCTCCGTCGTCTGAGAGGAGACCAGCTGGGGCCTTTTGTAAAGGGAATAGATCAGGCTGATGTTTTTATGATCCGTGAGTCATTCTAAAGTCCCTCTATAACCATGGTCTGTGCTGGGACTGCACCCACAGTGATGGGTGGGGGACACTCGAGGAGTGGATCAGAGGTTGAAGGTGACAGTAGCTCCCCACAGATGCCAGAGCTTCATTTTTGGGATGCGGGGTTCTCCCCACAAATATGGGCTTTGACTTACCTTCTAGATGCTGAGCTGTCCTGTGGCCTGACCTTGGTCTGGAGGCTCTACTTCACTGCTTCAAGTCCCACATAACCTGCCTCTGGAAATGTTCTTGTATAGCTCTCTTAGTAATAGAACTGTTTCCTGTTATTGGCACAGTATCTTGTCACTTTTAATGATGATGTTTCTGGCTGGTTCTCTAACATGTCTCTTTGCTCACAGGTACTATCGTGGAGCTGTAGGGGCGTTGTTGGTGTATGACATTGCTAAGCACCTTACTTACGAGAACGTAGAGCGATGGTTGAAAGAGCTGCGAGACCATGCTGACAGCAATATTGTAATCATGCTCGTGGGAAACAAGAGTGACTTGCGCCACCTGAGAGCAGTCCCTACCGATGAGGCCAGAGCTTTTGCAGGTTGGTGAACTCGGAGTAATTTCCTAGTATTAACCGGATGGGGATGTGCCTTCCTTGGGGCAGATGAGATTAAACGAAATGCAGGAAGCTTCATCACGTAGTTCTTGAAAGTGTGACAGGTTCTTATTTTCAGCTATAGAGGAAGATGTCACACAGCACTGAAAGAGGAAGATCCAGGGATTTCCTCTTTTGACCCCTGTGCTTGGGGATGAGTGTAAATTCCAATAGTGGTGTTGCTTTCAGATCACATAAGGGGAGGAAAAAAAACCCCACAACTTGTATTTTATCTTGATACCTGTGTGGCTCATCAGGAACACCATAACTATAATCTAGTACAGAAGTTCTTTCAGATGAGAAACAGATATGTGATGTACCTCTCTAATTATACTATTTCTGTCCACACAGAGAAGAATGGTTTGTCATTTATTGAGACATCTGCTTTAGACTCCACAAACGTGGAAGCAGCTTTCCAGACTATTCTGACAGGTGAGTCATCTACTGCTTTGTGTTTCAAAGGGGAAGGGCAAAAGCCTACTCAGATATGATGCAAATAGGCATTTCTTTGCCTAGAAAATGTTTAAAATTTTGCTACCTAATCATTCTCCACAGCTGTAAGATTTAGAGTTCAGTTTTGAAGTGTCACAGTTGAAAGGCCAGCCTTGAACTTGGGAATGAATCCTTTTTCTCTTTATTCTGCCCCAGGTTTCTAGTCAGCCTAGTTTGTTTCAGTTTCCTATTTGTGCGCGGTGTAGGGAGCGCCCATGGGAGAGAATTATCTCATGCAAGCATCAAGTTAAAACAGCCACTGTTTATCAGAGGAGGAGTCAATCTAATTTGTTGCCATCTTTAATGGCGACCATAGCAGTTGCTACGGGAAAAAGGATGAAAGAGCAGAGATCCTTGCTTTGAACAACACTGGTGCTGGTAGTCTGAGACATGAGACTCCTGAGCTGCGGGGTAGTCACTGTCACAGCCCCCAATAGTCCTGGTTGCAAATTTAAAGTCCCTCCTTCCCAGCATAGCACGTGCCAGGCTACGTGATGGGCTTGGTGTGAGCGGCAGCCCCACTTCTAAACCATGTTCTCTTAATCAGACCTCATTGCTGTGACATTGCCATGTAGTTTTGATTGATTTCTTTTCTCTTCAGCTAGTTTAGACATTCTTTTAAAAAAGCAACTTGTTAGACGTAGTGGAACGCTCAGGTGAGGAGGCAGCTAGGAAGTTATTTACCATAATAAAAGTATAAATTCTGTAGTATTTCTGGAGTTGTTTGAAATGCTTCATGAACACCCTAGCAGTGAGGGGAGTTATTAGGCTGCTGGGGTATTATCTGCCGATGGCCTTAGTTGCTAGAGGCCCCTGAAAGGTTCTGGTTCTATTGTGGTTTTTTACAGTTGGTTCCTAAGCAGTAGTGCTCCTGTACATGTACTAGCAAAAAAAATAAGGGAGTGCATGTGTAGACGAATGAACAGTGCATAGGGATGTTTGACATTGCTGCTTCGTACAATGCTGGGACTAGAACTTGAGTTGCGTTCTCTTTTAACTTCATTGGAGTCATTTGGTTGTAATTCAACATTACACACATTTTTTTAAAAAACAAGTTATACGTTTACTCCCTACATGACTAACATAAGGTCACTACTGATGCCATCAGGGAGTGGATGGCTAAGGAGTGGCTGAATGCGATGAGATCTGGGATGCCTGCTGGGCTTCCTGTTTTCTTTGCCTACCTAAAGGCAGTCATGTCAAAAATACTTGTGAATTTGGGCGTGGATTTTTCAGAAGTACAATTTTACTGCTTGCTTGTAACTACTAAACCCTGAAACTTCTTCCTTTATGCAGTTCGTCCTCTCGGGAGCAGCTAGACTGAATTTTGAGGACAGATTCTGGCCAAATGGGCCATGTATAATGTAGAACAAACAGCCTTGCTGCTTGCTCTTTCAGTTTTCTCAGGGCATCAAGGCCCTTGGGTGAAGGTTAGTTAACTTCCATACTCATTCACCACCAGCACTGATAGAACAGGAAATAGATCAGATGTTGTTTATCCCCTCCTAAGGTGGCTGTCAGGCTGTCATAGGCAATATAAACTGGTCACCTAGTTGCCCCCATCTCCTGCGGGACCATTCTGTTCTCTAACAGTGACGACTGAGGAGGTGGAAAGTTTTATTTTTTTCCTGCGTGCTCAGGGCTGCTGCTGTGCTGCTACAGAGCTGTCTGACGCTCAGACGATACGCTGCTGTTGCCATGGGGAAGCAGTTCACCTCTTGGGCACAGGCTAGGCTGTTCCTTTATTTCTCCTCGCATGCTTCTGACAGTCCCCTTTATGCCAGAAGTTATTTTGGATTCTAATTTGTGGAGGCTTTATTTTTATTTTTTCCTGGTTTCCTTTTTCTGTAAAGGAGAGCAGTCTGTAATGGGAGAACAAGCGATTAAAATTTGCCCTCTGTGGACTCTGACAGATTGTTGAAGGCTTTTGCTTTTCCACAAACATTCAATGCTCCCTCTGTGTTGCTGTGACAGCATCTTGGGTAAAGAGCTCCTGGGTATGTGGACGGGATCCTTGTTCAGGAGGGGCTGGTTCAACTGTGCTGGAAGAAACACTTCTGCTGATTAGTGGGCATGTGGCTCCAGACAGGAGCTCCTGTTTCAGGGAGATAAAGATGAAGTAAATAATGCATTAGCAGCAGGTTGGCTCCATCTTGGCTGTGACTGGCATGCTAAGGAGGAGTGTTCTGCCAATAAACTTCTTGATAATACTTCACAGCTGGCTTTTTCTGGTAATGATTTGCTTTGAAGGAAAGAGGGGAGCAGTCATCTGAGGAATGTGGTTTTCAGACTGACCCTGCAGAATCATGAATGGTCTGTATTTGATGAGGCTGCCTCCGAGCATAGCGCCCGCGGGTGGAATGCTCCCTCTCCTTTGAAGAAGGTAGTTGGTAAAGCCAACAGGCTTTGCCCCAGGCTCCAAGCAGAGGTGGCTGACAGAAACAGGACACGCTGCTGCACCAGCTCTGCTGGTATTTGCAGTGCTGGGAACTGCACCGCAGAGACATCCCGAGTTGCTCCTGTGCCTTTCACACAGCTGCTTACAGCCCGCCCCAACAGGGTGTTGTGACCGAAGTCTGTAGCAAAACTCCTTCTCCAGCCCTGCTGAAGCTGCTCTGGTTGGGGCAGTGCTGGAAACTTGTAAGAGCACTTCCCTTGGAGGTGTGGCAGGGTCCACACACACATTCGCAGATTGAGTCACTTTGAATGGATGGGTTTGGGCAGGGGAGACAGTCCATTCTAGTTAGCACAGCCATCTGCTGCTGATAGAGGTGAAAGAAGGGCAAGGAAGCTTTTTTTCCTTCTGCCTGTGTTATAGGGGACTTTTAGAGGGAGGTATGTCTTAAATCTAGTGGGCTTCCTGTCCTGCTGTGGATTCCGGGTGGTTTTGGGGACCTCTTCCTTCTGTGGAAGGACATTACTCTGAGGAGTAATGGTCCCTATCTAAATTCCTCTCCTGCAAGATGTCTGGGCTTCAAGGGCTGATTGTTGCACACACAAAGCTGCTTTGTGTCATCTGGCAAATAGGAGAGACTGGTGTTATAATCCTGGTCACTGAGCATTCACTGCAGGATAAAGCATCCTTAAAGTAAACTGGAGTCTGCCTCTATTCCCTGCCCAAGTCTGTGCTGTCTCTGTTCCTGTATTACATTTTGCTGTGATTTCATCTCTGAGGAATCCCATCTCCAAGGAAACAACATCACAGAGCATTAAAGTGAAAAAAAAAAAATCCAGGGATTTCCTCTTTTGTTAGGTCTATACACCTGAAAATGAATGAAACGCTAGTGCAGGCTGAAAGATGAGGGTTGGACAAGCTCCTCCGAGGCAGCAGTGTCACTTTTTCCCAGCCCTCTTACAGTGTGAGGCCTGTCTCACACAGTTACCAATTATGCAGTGATGCACTCTGCTGCATTTACTCTTAATAAGGTCTCATTCAGTTACTGAGCAGAGCATAAAGTGTAGTGTCTTCGTTAAAAAGTCCATGTCTTCATTAGCCCGGCGTCTCTCTGTGCAGAGCAGTTTCAGCGTAGGCTTTGCCGCTGGGTGTGTGTGAAAGAGCCTCAGCTGATGCAGGGAACGGCAGGTTTGGGCCCTTTAGGTTTCCACTGAGGGCAGGACGCTGCGGCTGCACAAAGGTTTGCCCAGCAGAGGAGGGAGAAGCAGCAGCGGGCAATGACCTCGGGGCTGTGGCAAGTTGATTTCGGCGGCATCGCTCTTAAATGCCCTTGCAGGACTGCTGGGGAGGCTGCGGAAGTGGGGGTCAGGGAACTGTGTTCCAAGAGTCAGGAGGGATACAGACCCTTTATCAGCAGAGAAATCAATGCTGTTAAGATTGGTTTCAGGGCTGTTTGCTGAAGATCTTTGCTGTAAGATGAGGGTGTTACACAGAGGGCACCTTGTTGTGAGTCCTCACTTACAGGGGTGGAGGAGGTGTTGTGACAGCTGGTGTTAGGAGCTAGTAGGAACTTGTTCAGGAAGTTCTTTGGAAAACTGAGAGTTCCTGCTGCTGGAGGTGTTGGTAGAGGGTTTTCAGTAAGGAAGGTGGCAAAAGTCTTTTACCATTCTAAAAGAACAGGCAGTGTTCTGCACTTAGAGGTGAGCTGGCTGTCTGCCCTGAGCTGGGGCAGGGTAGTAGAGCAGAAAACTTACCCTGAAGAAGCTTTAAAGATCTGATTTCCTAAGATTCGCTTAACTTGTGAAGTTGTTCCTGTCGAAGACTGTTGGAAAGAGGAGTGAACTTGAGAGGAGGTGAAATCAGAAAATCCTTTTACGTGTGCAGCTCTTGTTTGGTTGCCTCAGTGACTTGATCTGTAACTGAATGCACAGGCAAATCCATTTTTCTCAACAGTTTATTCCTGTCTGAGCGCTCGATTGGAAGCCCCACAGGCAGATTCTTTCAGCACATCACTTCCAAAGGTTCATGTTAATTGTACAGCCCATAGGTACAGCACAGTATCTACATGAGAGATCTTGATTTTCCCAGCAGTCCCATGGATCCGTGCAGTCCTGCTCTTACTCTTCCTGGGCAGCACTTGGCCTCCATTAGTGTTGGCACCTTAAATCAGTGTGTGCTTGTTGTATCGAGGGCAAGGTTTTCAAGCCTTGTTTGTCAGGGTCCCTTTTTGGCGTCTCAGTGCCGCCTCTTCCCGCTGTTGTAGAAGCAGGCGCTTCGCTGTGTGATCAGCCCTTGGCAGAGACCTCTCTGCACGAGGTTGCTCAATTTCCAGTACCGAAATGATGTCAGGGTGTGCAGTAAGCAGCAACTCATTAAAATCCTGAACAAAGGCTCTACTCGCTAATGACGAATTTCTGGTGGAAAAGACGTGTCGTGACTTGAGGTCAGGCGAGGTGTGTGTTCGGACGGTCATTATCCAGCTGATAAGAGACTTCAGACCTCCAAAGCAACTCGGACCTTCGCTTCCATCCACCAGTGTTGCTCATGAACCGCTTTGCTGCATGGGATGGGCGAAGTGCAGGCAGTCTTACCTTCTGCAGCCTGGGCTGATCTGAAACCTCAGGGCCGGGTGGTGAGCTGGAGCGTGCAGACTTGGGGTGGGCACCCACCCCCTTCTCACAGGGGCTCAGTGCCTGTGTGTTTGTTGCCAGCACGCGTTTCTGTTGGCCAGAGCAGATGGTGTGATGTTGTCATTTCAGGGATCAGCTTTTTGCTGAATCTGAAACGCTTTCAAACTTTTTTTTATTAAAACTGAGTTCTAGCAAGCTTGCTTTCTTTTTTCTTTTCTTTTTTTTTTTAAATTAAGCTTTAATGGTTTTAACACTCAATTTGCAAGTAAATTCCCCGTGTTCTATTTTTGGTATTCTTTATTTCCTTTCTGGGCAGTGAAGTGCTACACATACTTCAGCTGTGCCGAAGAAAGAGGCAAGTGCTTTGGTAGCTACTCTGAGTTTGTGTGCAGCATGTGCCATCAGCCACTAACAAATCCCGGCAGACTGGGCAAGGCTTTGGGTGCAAGCGTGTAGAGTTCTTTGCTTGGCAGCTTGCTGGGGAAGGCACGGGAGTTTAAGCTGTGTTCTCTGATTTCTGCTGGAATTTCTTCATCTGGAGCCCGTACTTCTTCCCCATGGTTGTGAAGTTTAGCTCCCCTGCCGTGGTGAATTTTGTGAGGGGTTTGTGTGTTGCTTAAGGGCCGAGTCCCTGCTTTTGGGCCCCGTTGAACGTTTTCTGAAGGTTTAAAACCGCTTGGACGATAGGTGAGGTATCCTACATGATAGGCAAGCTGAGAGAGAAGGGAAACCTTTATGTATTTCATGCCTGGTTTACCTCAGATTTAACTTTCTGGTGGTGTTTTGCTGGTGTACGTGTAATGACTGACTCTTTCTCATCTTCCAGAGATCTATCGTATTGTTTCCCAGAAGCAGATGTCCGACAGACGTGAAAACGATATGTCTCCAAGCAACAACGTGGTTCCCATTCATGTCCCTCCAACCACTGAAAACAAACCAAAGATGCAGTGCTGTCAGAATATATAGAATTGTTCATTCTTTCCTAAAAGGCTGTGTATATTCCCCAGGTCCAAGATTTAAATATATTTGTAATTCTTGTGGTCACTTTCTTGTGTTTAGTTACTGCATATTCCTTCTGAATTTCTCCACGTCTTAAACACTTTGATTTCGGTGTTTATAAATCTATTGCTTCTATGTGGCTGCAGTATTTTCCCAACACCGACGTGTCGGTTTTGGTTCAGTAAATTGTTTGGAACTGATCTGATCTTTCCAATGTGATGCCTGCGAGTCAGAGCACAGATGCCTTTAGTGAGCACTTAAAGATGTTATTCTGCTCCTTAGAAGACAATTGCTGTAGGGTTAATGAGAAAAATATCTCTGGACAGGATACCCTTTTCTTGTCTTAGGGTGTTGTATACTGCATCTAAAGCTTGAAGAATGCCCCTTGCTCTGAAGTGCAATTTTAATGTAAGTTAGATGGTTTTGGCTGCATTTTCAGATTGTCAAGTTAAGAATTATTTTTTTTTTTTCCATAGAATACTATGGGGGAGAAAAGAGAATTGCTTGCGAACAAGCAGCGGGGTTCTTGCTACCTGTGAATGAGTTTTTGTGGTTTGGCACCTGCTGCAGAGGAGGTTGTGATGGGAGACAGAGCTGCCGGTGGGAGGGCTGGGAGAGGCTCCTTTTGAGGTGCCTCTGGTGAAGAAGGCAAAAGGACAAGCTGCAGAACTGATGAAGGGTCACTAACACTGGAATGTACAGCGTGGTTTTGTGCTGCTTGAGACTTGGCCTCCACAGTGCTGGTGGTATCAGGATTTGAGGATGCCTTTTTTCTTTCACAGTGCACAGACTCGAAGGATGTTGTCACGTGTTACATATCACATTTATTAATACACACTGTGTTTATTAGTATATTCAAATGCTTGAGTTGATGAATTGATAACTTCTGCAACCTGGTCTTAATTTTCAGTTCTGTTATGTCCGGTATTCTTAAATTATTCCAGTGGTTTAGTATATGTTTAACAAAAACGTCTGGAGTAGTTTTCGTACTGGATGTGTTCCTTCTGTGCTCTGCTCAGTCCAGTTCATCTGTTCGATTAGCTTGTTCAGGGATACATGAACTGTGCCTTCTGTCGCTGCACTCACTGCGTATCACTTAGAACGTGCTACTCCCAAACACGTAATTCATGCTGAGATTTGGGGGGGCTGTAGGCACTGAATTCCCGCGGTATTTAATAGAACTGCTTGTTGTATAAATGCCTGCAGTTGTCTGTATGATTACAGGGAATTAATTGATTGTAGGGGAAGTTTCTCAAACTCTGATATGACCCACTTGGAACATCCAAACCTGGGTAGGCACTACCAGCTGCGTTTCGTACCCAACCTTTCTGTCTTGCGGTGCTCATGATGTGTAAGGCACACGGAAGGCATTGCTGTAGTCGGTCACTTTTTTGTTTTTTAAATCCATTTCTCTTCCAGGTATTAGTTCTGAAGATGCTACTTTGATCTGTTTGTAAATTACTTTGTATTTTATGCGTGTACTGTACTTTGATCCATTATTTTTTTAGATTGATTTAAACTATATTCATCCATGATTCTAATAAAGAACTACAGGGGACAACTCAGTATGGCGTTGGGTGCACTTTTTGGGAGAACTGGGATTTGAACTGAAGTTGTTTTACTACTGGAAGCTACTACTGGAACAGGCTCTGGGAAGATGCTGAAGTGGAAGTGCCCCAGAAAAGGAACTGAAAGGGTTGTGTAGGCCGTCTTCACTCAGAGAAGGTGCACAGGCTTTTGAGGCTGCTGTAGGTCGTGGCCACGACGGTTCAGTAGCTTGGGGAAGCTTTTATGCTCTGCAAAGTCTGAGTTTGCTGTAGTCAAACCTCCAAGTAGCTCTTACAAACTTGTTTGTTTTTTCCCACGTTGCCACCAGTAAGAAAATCCTGCAGGACAGCAAACTGCTGCTTTCTACAGCGAATGATCTAAGCTTTCGTATCCCACTTTGGCCCCGCTGAGGACGCGGTACGCAGGAGCCAGGTTGTGGTGAGATTTGTGCGCTGGTCCCTGGCAGCCTCCTGGCTGCAGGCAGCGCGTGGGGCAGCGCTGGTGCCTCTGGGGACAGCGGCAATTTGATTTTAGTTTGGGGCCTTTTTGTATTGCAGGAGAGTCTGAAGATGAGGTGTAAGACTGGGCCCCTGCTGACTGTGGGAGCTGATCTCACAGCACATATTTTGGATTTAACCGAATTCCTGTGGCAGCCAAGTTCTAAATTTGTCAACTGAAAACGCGGGATGAGTTTCACTTCGCTTTGCTTTTCTGATCCACGTAAGCGGGGAGCTCGACGCAGCTGTCACGTCGGGTTTGGATTGCGCATGCTTTTATGCACGACACTTCCTTCTGCAGCAAATGCAACCCCAGCGAAGCCTGAGGGACCACAAATCGCTCTCAGAGGCTGAGGCTGCCCCTCGTCTGTGTGTGTGCATCTACTTCTTCCTTCACCTTGCAACAAACGGTGGGTGCTGTTAGACAAAGTAAGAACTCTAATTTTATTTTATTCCCCTCTCCCTCTGAACTTTAAAATTAATAATCATAAAGCAGGCCTCAGACAGAAATGCCATCCAAAATCTTAAGAACTGCTGGAACATGGAACATAAAGTGTTCATGCAATAATATATAAAGCGTTTGTAAGCTCTCAACTTCTAAAGTAAAACCACGTGGTGCACGTACAGAGATGTAACTTCTTACTTATTAAAGCCTCTACCTCATGTTCTCTGGTTTTCTACTGCCTTTTCCTGACCAAGTGGTGGGGCAGCAGATCCACCCTGGGACAAGAAGGGACTTCACAAAGTGCTTTGGGAGAGACAGCTCAAGATATTTTTCCATCTGAGCGCTGACCCAATGGGCTATTGTTCCCGCTCAGCTGCTGATTAGTTATTCCCTTCCGTAATCAGAATTACTTCCGTGCTGAAGTGTCTCTCCTCTGTTAAGACGAGACAACTGATTATAACAGATATTACCTTTGGACCCTGAAATGAGCTTCCTGAGTTTCTGGGAGCTCTGTATAATGCTGCAAAATGGGCTTTACTTGCCAAAAGCTTTTGCTCTCATTTACATATTTGAAAGTCCCAGCCTGAACAATTATGAAGCTGCTCGGTGGTTCTTTGCGTTTGATGGGAGTTGAGGCTCTGACTCTTTAAGCAGAAAGGACATGGAATTGTTCTGATTTAAAGAAGTTTTTATTAAGCTAGAATTACTTATTCTATCAGTTCAAACCTGATGAATTTCCAGCCTTAAATAGCTTATTGAGTGTGGCTTGTCAAATAAGAAGATTACATGCTGGGCTTTAGTTAACAGGATTTTTAGAAATATGAAGCACAAATATTGAAAAAGCTTCAATGTGTAGCAGTCCACTGCCTTTCCTGGGAGTGTTTAATTCTGAAGGTGTTTCTGCTGCAAATCTGTGCTCGTGATTTATTGATGAAGCTCCCTGGGAACGCTGTCAAACCCATCGTGATGGCTCCGTTTCTCCTGTCCCAGCACTCTGGGGTCCTGCAGGGCCACGGTGCTGGTCTGTGCCCACTCGAAGCACCCAGCGCTGTCACCACACGTGCTAAAATGCGTCACGTGGAAAGCAGAGAGAGACCTGGGGTTGGCACTTGCCCCAAGTTGTAAACGTTCAGGGGCTCATCCGGCTGCGCTTGCGCATCCCTGGGGTCCCTCGCTCAGAGCCACCAAGGTTAAACTGCTGAGGAACTGTGAGGAAGTTACATGCAGAGCCAGTTAGGTTTGGTTTGAAAGCTAGGCCTTACTCAGAAATAAACTCCAAATTGCAGCTTGAATTACAACATCATGTTTTCTGAGCAATCCTGTAACTTCTAGCTTGTAAGCCTGGTGCCTGTGGTGTTTTGTTTTCTTAAGAGGGACGGCCCCTTTGTGAGCGGCCCCATCGCCTGGAGAACTTGAACTTGAACACAGGCTGGAAGTTTTAGTCTGCAAATGAGTACGTTTGAGAAATACACATTGAGAGAAACTCGATTTATTTTGTACAAGGTAGAATACCTTTGCACAGTGAACAAATATATTACAAATCTGTCTTGCCTTAAAAAAGTATTGCCATTTCAGTGCCTATTTCCTAAGCTAATGCTAATATACAAGAAGGTATGGGTTTTGTTGTTGGGTTTTTTTTGTTTCTTTTTTTTCCTGTTAAGCTCTATGCACCTTGTTGCATTTGGTTTGAAAAACTCAGCTTTGGGGGGAAAAAAAAAAAAGAAAAGAATAAAGAGCTGAGCACATTTCTGCTCCCTGGAGTCTCATCGCAAACTTTATAGCAACACACACAAACGTTGGTCAGGCCGGCAGCTGAGACTGCTTGTGCTCAGTGTCTAGGTAAGTCTCTAACAAGAGTATTCCTTGTCAAACTGCCTTTCTCCTGATATTTTTGAGGTAAGTCTTTCTGTTCACTATGTAAAATATATTCCTAGTGACCCTACAAAAGAATTGGCTACTTGCATCTCAAATAAGGCTTTCCTGGAAAGTAAAATTGCTATTGCTGATGAGTCATTGCCCCATGCACACATGCAGCATTCATGGAACTACTTAAGCATTACCCTGCAACATGAAATACCTGCTGCTCGGGAAGCCTGGCGGGTGTCTCCGTGCTCAGCTCCGCTGTCTCGCTGCAAAACTCTTGGTGGGTGTGTTGGGGGGGGGTGTTCAGAGCCAACCTGACTACCTGGTGGGGTCCCAGCTCCCCTAGCTGGGGCTCCCCATGCCCCGAGGTGTGCGTGGTGTGGCAGCGAGCTCAGGGGTGCTGTGCAGGTGGCCGGTGGCTCGGTACAGGTGAGGGCTGAGCCCCTGCCGAGAGGTCGCAGGTATCCCGGTCTGACTCGGAGCTGGGGTCAAGCTGCTGCCTCTGAGCTGGAACACTCCCCTTATCAATCCCCTAAACCAGCAGGTTATGCAAGTGATCGTGCTCTGAGCACCGACTGGTGCTGGTTTTGTTCTCTTCCACATCCATCAGACTAGCGAATGTGCAACAGGATTGGGGTTTGGTGGTTTTTTTATATTTAAGAGGCAATCAACTTGCTACTTCCACGTTT